TGTAATGTAAAATTACTGTTGCTGTGCCTAAATGAATAAAAAAAATAATTTATTATCACATTATATTTGATGAGTTTGTGTTAATGTCATTGAACCCAGAGACGCATCGTTTTATGGCTCCGTCCTACATTCGACATGAAATGAATAAATGGGACACCATTCGATCAATAAATGCTTAATGACAGTTGCGGTGTACGAAGAAAGGAAACCCCATAAGGTATTATTTTATTGCGTAGAGATGTAATCTCTCTAGACGTCTTCTACCGCATATTCCATGGGGAGTGCTCGGTAGAACGGCGTTTCCTTATACCTCCATCCCTTTTTCACTGCGGCATAATGAAAATGGTCCAGCAATTGCAACTCTAATGGGGTACTTAATGGTTAATGGGGTCATTTGGAAGGAGGGGAAGGCTTGTTAGTTATGTGATGGTTAGTCCCCATTGTCGACTATATAGCCAGGTCGACCGCCACGCGGTACATCTTGGAAACCATCATAGCTGATTCCTGGTAATTTTGTCAAGATGAACTAACTGACCTGTCTTCATCTTCATCTACCATCACACACTGTTACTCAGTTAGCGTGAATTGATCATTAAAAAAAAATGGGTATAAAAAAATGGTATTGGGTGTCTAGCGTACCTATTGCTAACAAATAATGTCTGAGGGAGTATTAGGAATCCAACAGCTACATTGCTAGCAATATACTCAACCAGGTCGACCTCCTCGCGGTTCTCCCTGGAAACTATCATGGTTAATTCCTGATGAATTGATCATGATGGGCTAACTGACTTGTTTTCATACTCATCTATCACCCTTTACTGGTGCTCCGCCAGCGTATCCCGTTAGCGCAGGCGGGGTTACCATACCATTTTCATCCATAAAAAAAAAACTAACGTAGTTATGAGATAACAAATATAAAATCAAAATACAACTGATATCCCTTCTTCTTTTTGAAGATTGTTGAAAATTTATTAATAGCTAGAATAATGAACCGTATTGGTTAAACGGTTTGGTTCAAACCCTTTACAAACAAAGACTTTAAACTAATTCCCGTAACCGTCTTTTAGGTTAACAGTAAAAAACTTTTCCCTTTCAGCAACTGTATTATCTTTCTAGCAATAACTCAGCTACTGTTATCTCGGAGTAACCGCGACGCGAGTAATGAAGGGGGTGACCTCAGGTCGCCGGGTGGAGGGAAGGGAGGGGAGATGTCGGGAAAAATTTGCGGCACCCGTTTCAAGGGCGAGGAGCATTACATTCCAGCGTTGCCAGAATGGGTGTTTTTTTCGCAATTTTTGGGATAAAAATGTTTTCGTTCAAGAAATTTTGGAGAAATGAAATACTCGGAGAAATTTTTGGAGAAAAGTGAAACGGATTCGGAGAATTTTTTGAATTTAGGTCAACGAGAAGTACTCTATAGGTTTGGATTCCCTTTGCGAATATCAAGATATGCGATATAAATGGAACATAAATGGCCGTATCATTTGATTGTGTCGATTTTGTAGCCTGATTTCTTCACTGCTTTAAGACATTGCGGACTTTGTACAAAAGTCGTTTGCTTGGGTGCCTCTGTCCCATTCGTATTTCAACCGTGAAGCAGTTGTGTTTGCATGGCTGTGTTTCGATTTGAAGGGTGGAATATGGCGTGAATTTAAAGGGTACAGAGGAATAACACCTGAGTCCTCAGGAATGGCAACGCATGGGGGGTATCATGGGCGAAACTACGCTGTTATGGCCAAGGTACTGTTCATGTCTATAGGCGACGGTTACCATTTTCCATCAGGTGGGCCGTCAGCATGTCTGCCATTCTAAGATGCATAAAAAAATTCTTTATTCAAGTTACCAGGACCCCACACTACTTTTACCATATACAGTTTATTATAATGACCTACTTACCCTACTTTTTTTTATATACATATTATGTCAGACTGCCAGAACTTGAATCATACTACAATGATTAAAATACTGACAGTCTGGACGTTTAGATAAAACAAAATAAAAACGATACTAGATTATGATTGGGTAAAAGTTTTAGAAATCGTATAAATTTGGAGAAAAAACATTTGATTTTGGGTAAAAATTAAAAGTCGCATCTAGCAACCCTGCTACATTCTTTAGATTATAACAGTGTTAGCTTGATAAGACCGCGTGATGTTGCCAGAATTGCAAAAAGGCTTCGGAAAATTCATATCGCCTTTTCAGCGACTAGGTACCAAAAATGGGAGATACTTATAGTACAATATCTTTATTAGTGCTTAATTTGAAACTAGATAGCGTCGTACGCTTTATCCAAGGGTGTTTATTATTTACTAAATTCCCGCCTCGGTTTCCCACGAGTATACTTTTTTTTTATACAACTTAGAATGGAAAACAAGCTGACGGCCCACCTGATGGTAAGTGGTAACCGTCGCCTTTAGACATGAGCAGTACCATGGACATAACAGTGTATACTATTTCGCCCATGATACTCCCCATGCGTTGCCATTCCTGAGTTTTATGAAGATTTTTTCCACTCGTTTTTATGAAGATTTTTAAACCTAAACTTGTGACTTTTCCATAAGATTTTTCAAATCTTTTCTTTCGTACAAAACTTTGTCCTGACAATTACAAAAACAAAAAAAAAAAAAATTAGCTAAATACGTGCAGCCATTTTGAAATGATGTAGTTACATTACACAGTACATTTAGCAAATGATTTTTATATATATATATATATATATACCCTTCAGTTCTCTTTATCTAATCTGACAAGTACAAAGTGTGAAGATAGAATTGCGTTACCATGTAAGCACTATAAGGGATTATCTCAAAATAAAATCCAATATCGAGAATAAATTCAGTTTTTATATTGGATTATCCTTCTTTACGTCATTTTCTTTTTTTTTAATAGATGATATTGTAATGGTAACCCCATTTGCGCTAAAAGTATACGATAGAGGGGCACCAGTGAGGGATGATAGGTGAGAATGAAAAGGCAGGTCATCAAAGTTAACGCATCGTGATGAATACACCTGGAATTCAGCACGATGGTTTTCAGGGGGAGCACATTCCCGGGGCGGTCGACCTCATAGGGTATATCGTTGGTAAAGGGACTGGTAGTCCGCATTTCTTTCCCCCTTTCCCCCTTGCTGTATGTTTTATCTATGATACGTTACCAAAAAATTGTCTATTTTTTATTTCTAAAATTCATGCGTACAAAGCAGCGGGCCGTAAACTAGTATATACTCGTGTTACTGTACAAACCTAATGTGCATTGGTAAATTTAAGGATTTACCAACATGAGTTGGTAAATGTAAGGAAATTATTAAAAGAAATGTCATTTTTAGAGGTTTTTTTTTATGGGTGATAATGGTATGGTAATCCCGCCTACGCTGATACGCTGGCGGAACACCAGTGAAGGGTAATCGATGAGAATGAAAACAGGCCAGTTAGCCCATCATGATGAATTCATCAGGAATTAACCGTGGTAGTTTCCAAAGGGAACCACGAGGAGGTCGACCTGGTTGGGTATATTGCTAGCAATGGGAGTTTTAGTCTCCATTACTAACAATCCCTTTCCCCCCATTTTTAGGGGTTTCCGCGTACCAAATATAACCAAATTCTCCTTTCTAACCACGATTACGAACACCACGTCTAAATATGTTTAAATATTATGTCTGTTTTGCTAAAAACTAAAATTTTTATACATTTTTGTGTTTCATCATTTCAGCCATTATCCGTCCACTGCTGGACATAAGCCTCCCCCATAGACTGCCATAAAGAACGGTCCTGAGCCACCTGAATCCACTGATTCGCTGCAATGCATTTCAGGTCGTCACTCCATCTAGTGGGGAAATGTCCTACACTGCGTTTGCCCGTACGGGGTCGCCACTCAAGAATCTTTCTTTCCCATTTTGAACAGCAGACACGGTTTACAATGATTTCTCCACCTTCTTTGCACAGATATTCTATCTGCTGTGCAAATTTCATAATGCACAATAACAGCTTTGTTCCAGTCACCTGGAACATTACCACCGCCAACATTTATTCCAGTCTTTTTAATTTACCTGGACCGCCAACATTTTCCACCTTCTTTCCCACTTCTTCGTCCATTATTTCATTTTATGTTTCCGTGATAACACTAGATATTTATAAAATGTCAAAAAATAAATTTAAAATTAAAACATGTTTAGTGAACGATGCTCATGTTCGTGGTCATATAGGTAGATTAGGTTTGGTTTGGTGAGAGCTCCAAAAAAATATTTTTTTTTTAAACTTTTACATTTACCAACACTTTTACTTTTACAGTAACATATATGTATCACATATACATATATCGTCACGATATAATATCGGTTTAGAAAAAATAATAATTTCAATAGAAGAAATGAAACATACACACGACTGTCAAATAAATAAAAATTGTGTTCAATAAAAAAGAGACCGACTTTAATTGTGACAAAAACAATTATTTTATTCTACTGAATGGTATTTGATAAAATTTCTATGGAACAAATACATACATACATACATTCCATCATGGGACAAATCTGTAAGTATATCTTTTTAGAAAAAAAAAAAGAATTTTCCAAATCGCTTCAGATTTGACGGAGTTATGAGATAACAAATATAAAAAAAATACAATCGTATTGAGACCTCCCTCTTTTTGAAGTCGGTTTGTAAAAAGAGTGCAATGTTTTCAGCGTTCAATATATGTGAGTTTCTATTTTCCACAATAACTTCTAAATGCCTAAATAGATTAGTACTTATGGGGTATTATTTAGATCATTAAATCATTCCGAGTAGCACTGGCCATAAATTTTATGTAAATAAAAAATAATATTAAAAAAAATAGTTACTTCATTTGTGTTCTTATAATGCACAGTTAAATTACTACAGAAAAAATTTAAAGCAATTCTAAGTATTTGGAACACAAAATTCGTGTTTTATTTCTCTTAAGAAAAGGAGGTATGAAACAATACCATATAATAAAGTTTCGAAACAATACAATGATAAACGTACCGTTAATTTTCAATAGCTCTTGCTGTAATCACGTGTAAAGAGTGAATTTTATTAATAAATCAGCGTTCACATCATTGGTTATCTTTACACTCCGTTACACAATCAGTAAACATAGGGGACAAACTTACATGAACTAAACCAGTCATCTCAAGGCATTCTGAATTGACAGTTAACACTTAACTACATAATATTTTGTCACGGAAACTGAAAAAATTTATGCTGTGTGAAAAAAAAAGGTATCACAAGAAAGAAAGGGGAAGGAACTGTTTAACCGAAAAAAAAAAAATTCGGCAGAATGTCAAATGAAAACAGAGAAATCCGCATTGCGTTTTTGAATTTCGAATGTCTGTTTTCGTTTGACATTGGAACAAAGGTGTCCGGTATTTGGAACGGATTTCAAATTTTGATTTTAGAACAGGACGAGGGAAGGACAAACCTATTGTGGTTTATTTTTTAATTCGTGTTAGGCGACGTTATCGCCCCTCGCGACCGTTTGGCGGGACTCCGCCGCGGCGACTGGCCGAACAACCCCTAGAGGGGTACCTTTCTATACTTATGTGTTTACATCTTAAATGGGGTACACAGAGTAATGTTGCCCTAGAGGGCACTGTTGTACCCATTAAGGGTTAGAACTAATGTTTGCGACTGTGATTTATAAACACATTGCTGAACTTGAAACACTTTCAATCTTCAAAATGGGTCGCTCTTAAAAGGATTATGTAACGTCATGTAATATGCATTATATGCTTACAATTTGGAATCAATTGAACCCTTATGGGATAAAGCCCTTTTTAGGAAAACGGCCTTGGGATAAGAATAGATACTTGTACATAAGTAATTATTTGCTATTAATAAATAATGGAACTCTTTATTAGGAGTGGGTAATATTGTATATAGCAATATCTATATAATTTGTTTACAATATCTATATATATTGGTTCAATAACGAATATATTAAAAGTCTGTTACCCAAAAAAAAAAAAATAACAGACTTTTAACATATTCCAAAATAGATATCCGACTGATATAGGCGATATCGAAATGGGTATGATGATGACCTTATTTCTGCCATCATGCCACATCTGCCATTTAGCACACCTGCAATGCTGCTGGTGTTGTGGGTGATCATGGGCGGCGGTAGTCACTTACCATCAGGTGAGCCGCATGCTCGACAACGTGTGGAGGATATCATGGGCAAAACAGTATACTCTGTTATGTCCATGGTATAGGCGACGATTATAACTTTCCATCAGGTGGACCGTCAGCTTGTTTGCCATTCTAAGTTGCATAAAAAAAAATAGATTATCATCATCATCATATCAGCCTTTAACTGTCCACTGCTGAACATAAGCCTCCCGCTTGAGGGGGTTTGCTAATAGTTGTCACGCTTGACAGGCGGATTAGCAACCGCAGTTAGAGTTTAAAGGTGTTTTAAGAGGAACGCTGCTGCCCATCCCTCGTCTTACCTTAGTCGTCTCTAACGACACCCACGGGAAAGGAAGGGGTGGCCTACTCTATGCCGGGACCACATAGCAACAGAATTAGACTGTGGGAAAAAACATTGTTAGTAATGAGGTCTAATAGCCGCATTGCTAGCAATATACCCTCTCAGGTCAACCTCCACGCGGTTCCCCCTGGAAACTATCGTGGTTAATTTTTGTAGGAATCATCAGGTGGTAGTGGTAGGTGGGCCAGTTGACCTGTAATTAATCTCACCTATCATACCGCACTGGTGCTTCGTCGGTGTATACCAATAGCGCGGGCGAGGTTACCATTCCATTTTCACCATTAAAAAAAAACAGACCCATTAAAATAATAGAAATAGACTATTGCTTATTACTACAAATCAGCTAACGAAAATACGAGACAGTTCCCTTACCTAGGGGGGAAAGGGATTGTTAGTAATGGAGATTAAAAATCCCATTGCTAGCAATATACCTAACCAGATCGACTTCCTCGCGGTTCTCCCTAGAAACTATCATGATTAATTCCTGATGAATTCATCATGATAGGCTGACTGCCCTGTTTTCATTCTCATCTGTCACCCTTCACTGGTGCTCCGCCAGCGTATTCCGTTAGCGCAGACGGGGTTACCAATCCATTTTCATCCAAAAAAAAAAGGTTCCTTACCTATTTCCTCTATAATACAGATATAAAAAGTGTCGCCTCTGTCGTTGCAATTACTCTGTGCGCAGACCTCTATTCGGTAGGTATAGGCGTAAAATACAGTACAATGGTTCCCATCGGATATTATTATGGGGAGGGCCACGAGTTTCTTATGACATAACGTTGTTTATATAATTATTGGAATCATATACTACTAATATTTTATTACTAGTTGTGTACCGTGGTTTCGCTTGAAACAGTATATGATGTATTGGTGTATTTTGGATTATTTACTAGGGAAGGCCTGGGCCCTTTAAAAAGACGCATATAAATGTCCTTTCAGACATATTACACATTTTTGCAAAGGTTCTCTTGCATACTAGGGTGAACACTGGACAATTCTGAAGTGGAACAATATAGTCTATCAGGTCGACGTTCACGTGGTTCCCCTTGGAAACCATCATGGTTAATTCTAGTTGAATTCTTCAGGCCCTGACCTGCTTTCATCCTCATCAGGTCATCTATTACTGGTGCCCGGCCAATGTATACCAATAGCGCAGGCGAGGTTACCATTCCATTATCACTTATTAAAAAAAATCTAGTATTGGTACAGTCCACTCCCCCCCCCGGGGGGAGGGGGGGAAAGGGATTGTTAGTAATAGAGGCTGAACATTCCATTGCTAGCAATATACCCAACCAGGTCGACCTCCTCGTGGTTCCCCCTGGAAACTATCATGGTTAATACCTTATGAATTCATCATGATGGGCTAACTGGCCTGTTTTCATTCTCATCTATCATCCTTCACTGGTGCTTCGCCAGCGTATCCTGTTAGCACAGGCGGGGTTACCATACCATTTTCACCTAACAAAAAACTCCTCAACCCCTCCCGCTCCACCTCAAAACATCATTAAGCGATATATGTTAAATGTAGTCAATAAATTTAATTTAAGCACAATAGTGTCACTGATTCTGTAGTAAATTCCCAAACAGATACGACATTGAAACCTTTAAGAAAAGAGCATGTTCCTTCTTAAAAGGCCAACAACACAACTGCATTTGCTCTGACATTGCGGGTGTCTATGGGCGGTAATCACTTACCATCAAGAAAACCGCGTACTCGTTTACCCTTTGTGTTATGAAAAAAAAAATAAAAAAAAATATACCGTCCTTGTTATACTCGTAAATAAGGCGAGCATACTTTTAAATACCTTTTAACTTACAAAATACATCTCAATTAGAAAGAAAAGATCAAAAGCTGTAGAAGAATTTAATAAAGTAATTCTCTGCGAATACATACCAAATGCCTCCACTTGGAAAGTATAAAATTGACTTATCTTCGACTTAATCGACTCGAAAGATTAAATACTTTAACTTAGCCTATCTTTGTAACATTTTAAGTTATTTTTAGAAACAAATTTTCCAAATTAACAACATTTCTGGAAGATAAGCCGCGTAATGGTTTTTTTCTTTAATGCTTTTCTGCATGCGCTATCGGTATACACTGGGGGTACACCAGTGAGAGATGATAGGTGAAGATGTAAGCAGGTCAGATGGCAAATTAGCAGATTGATAAATTCGTTAAAAAATAACCATGACGGTTTCCGGGGTAAATGCGTGGAGATCGATTTGTCATGGTACGAGTATATTGCTAGCAATGGGGCTATTAGATACCATCACTAACAATCTTCCTCCCCTTTCCTCATATAATGGGGTTTTTTTTATGAGTGATAATGGAAGGAGTATGGAACGCTATGGGTATACACTAGCGTTGCACCAGTAAATAAGTAATATATGGTATACAAATTAATGTACAATATGATACTTCCAAACCCCATTACGTGAGGGAAAGGGGTTGTTAGTAATGGAGATCTGACAGCTCCTCATTATCTAGCACCAATATACCCTATCAGGTCGACCTCCACGCTGTCCTCCTGGAAACCATCTTGTTTAATTCTTGCGGAATCCATCACGATGGGCTAACTGACCTGCTTTCATTCTCACTTATCATCCTTCACTGGCGCCCTGCCAGTGTATACCAAAAGCGCAGGTGAGGTTACCATACCATTATCACTTAAAAATCCCATTATGTGGGGAGAGGGGAGAAAGATTGTTAGTAATAGGATTTAGTAGCCCCATTGCTAGCAATATATCCTAACAATTCGTTCAGCATTTTCGTTTATCCAAAAAAAAATTATATTATTACTAACTGTATCGTTTATCAGGTTGACTGTACTTTTTGTGTCAATATTGATCAAAAATTTAATGAACCCATTGTGTATTAATAAAACAAACACACAATTAATGTTTCTTGTTTCCAATCACATATGGTGTTAGCACAGTATAAACAATACTTTATTACAATAAGTCCAGATCTAACAGTTGAATAAATTGTTTTAAACTGGTTTTTATTTTCAATGTAATATTCAACGGCGTTGGTGGTGTAATGGTCAGCATAGTTGCCTTCCAAGCAGTTGATCCGGGTTCGATTCCCGGCCAAGGCATAGTTTTACATAAATTGCGACTTTAATTAGCTGAATAGAGTATTACCAGAGGAAGACTTTGTAAAACAGTTGTTTGTTTGGGTACCTCTGTCCCATCCGTGTTTCAAGCAGTTGTGTTTGCTTGGCTGTGTTTCGATTTGAAGGGTCGATTTGTTCGATTTGAGATATGGCGTGAATTTACAGGGTAGTACAGAAAAATAACACCTGAGTCTTCAGGAATGGCAACGCATGGGGGGTATCATTCAGGAATGGCAACGCGGGGCAATCATGGGCGGAAACAGTATACTCTGTTATGTCCATGGTACTACTCCTGTCTATAGGCGACGGTTACCACTTTCCATCAGGTGGGCCGTCAGCTTGTTTGCCATTCTAAGTTGTATAAAAAAATCTTGGTACTATAAAATAATTTAAAAATTAAAATACGTAATAATAATTAAAGTTTAAACATTTGAACATACGGTACAACAGCGTTGGTGGTGTAATGGTCAGCATAGTTGCCTTCCAAGCAGTTGATCCGGGTTCGATTCCCGGCCAACGCACATTATTTTTACATAACCTTTAGAGGTTGAAATTATTTCAATTCCGTCTTGTATAAGATTGGAATTCTATTACAAATAACATAAAATCCAATTTAAAAAAAATTACATCTCAGTAGATCTTACTGAATAATACGTGAATTTATAAGTATGAAATTCAATGTCATTAAAACTTTCCAGGCTTGCTTCGAACTGCAGTTATCTCGGACGTGATACGTTTGTCCTTGTCTAACTCATTGTTTGTAGTATTCTCCGTTTCAGCAGAAGTGTAATCTATCGATTGACTGGGGCGGTATAAGAGATGACTGTATCTCCAGATATATGTCACGATTGTTTATTTTAAATTTTCACGTTGTTTAAAATTCG